TGACCAACCGGTGCCCACGTGTGGCACTCTGGGGCACGCCTGTCCCTTTCAATAACCTGCACTGAAACCTGAATCCTAGAGTGAGTCCCTGCATGCATTGGAGAAATGGCCACCTCTTCTTCTGAGCAAAGTGACCCTGATCATTTTTAAAGCCTAATGTAATGTACCAAAGCTCATTTAGTTTAATTAGTGTGCCTGTTAATGGAGCTAGTGTACAAACAAATGATGACCCTGTAAGCTGGAGCAGCACCACAAAAAACAAGCCAAGCTGGGCTTCAGCCTTACTAATGATGTTGCATCATTAAAAGAAATTTCACACACTCCACTAATAATTTCCTTAGGGTTGATCTAAAAATATATAAATAAAAATGCATCTTGAGTTTGATTAGTTGGAAAGTTTGACTTTTCAGGGTTTCTGAGCAGCAGGATGACAGGAGGAGCCAAATGTGTCTGAATGCTTCTGATTTCCTGCTTTGGATCAGAATACCATAAGCTGTCATCCACTGGAGAGGAAGTCTTTTCATTTCAACACAGATGGACTGGCACCGTAGGAGCTGATGTCTGCAGGCCGAACAGGGCACAGAGTATGTCTAAGCCATATGCATGCAGACATATAGATTCACACCCACACAGATGCATCATCACATAGGGAGGCACTTTTGGAGCATGTCATAAAGTTTTTACTCTCGCTGCAGGTCATCAAGTAAAAGTGATACCACCTTACTATATGTACATGCTTTTTATTTTTTTAAGGGTAGGAACTAGGCATGCTTGACACATAAAAGTGCATAGACTTTTAGTCCAATTCAAAAGTAAAAGATATTTATCTTGAAACAATTGTTTTTTTTACTCTAATGTTAACAAAAACTACATAAATTTAGTATGATGTCAGATTCTCCAAAATAAAAATGCTTAAACACAAGGGTCCGTATTCACAAGGGATCCTAAGACTAAAAGTAGTTCCAAGGGATTTAATTTTAAAAGAAATCTTAAAATTTGTCAAATTCTAAGATTTTAATTGTAATTCTATCTCAGTAAGATAAAAGCCGTTCACACATAAGCTTTGGCTTTAAAGGTATATAGTCTTTTTCCGGGTGGATCATCAAAATAAGTGGTCATAAGTGGTGATATGTTTACGTAAGGCAGTCCTATGTTCTCGTCCCCATTTTCACTTAGCGGTGGTGAGTCTGACATAGTGGGAAAATTGCAAATCTTCTTTTGGAAAGTAAGCTTCAATGAGCGATGCAAACAGCAACTTTTAAACAGAACGTGCACAAGGATAAATGGGCTTATGCATTCCCTCACACACGTTTATTAGGCGAACCATCTGGGAGCGGGTACAGGGTTGTGCATGTGCATTTCTTTTCCTAAAGTGGAAAAGGTGGGTCTTTTCAAAAATTCGCAAAAATCCTCCACTATACCTTTAAGAAGATGGCAGAAACAAAGAATACTTTGGCTCATCCACCCCCTAAATGGCATACATGAGCAAAGAGGCCTCTTTAACAAACATAAAATTATTTTGAAGATAAGATTTATCATTAGCAGAGGGGGAAATGATTTGTTTCAGCAGCTGGAATGATTAAAAGTATGCCTCTGATTACGTGATTTTATTGAAATAAAAAGTAGAAAAATATTGAATAATCATGAATAAATGGTGGAAAATGTACAGGATTATACAAGGATTTTAGTATTATGTATACAGTGTAAAATGCTCTTAATGGTTTTTAAAAATGGATGGAGAATAAATGCATGAATATACAAAGCAAAGATAAGCAAAAGATACAATAATATTCATTCTAAACGAACAAGTAGATGAGGTATGAACGTTTTTCCTTTACATGTTGATGACCAGAAACCGAAATAGTCATCTAGATATTTGGACCAGTGATGCCATCTCCTCTCTGGCTTATGATTGCTGTATATCATGCTTTTCACTTTGCAGGCTGGTGTATAAAATCTGAGAAAAAGACTCTCATAGAAAAAGACAGCTTCTTTTATACCCTGATACTGGAACCAATTTACCTTTCACTCCTCTATTCAAGCACACAGAAGTGTGCAGAAAGCAGACACAGCTACCCATCCAGTTGGGTTTCCTTTACCTTTTTTCTCTATTTTATTGTGAAATCAAACTGTTTTATACAAGGAGGACATCACAGTGAAATGTTTCAGGTGAGCCCATGTTAATTCCAAACAAACGGAGAGGTAAAATGGACAGCATGGTGATTAAACACAAAAATATAAATACGAATGAGGATGTAAAGGTTTTTACACATTTTTATAATCAGAGACAATATAATTATATTAAATCTCATCATGAGACACATTTCTTAATCCAGTCTTAATTATTCACTCTTCATGGATAGGTGGGAGTGTGCTTGTCTTGTTTTGTTTGTATTTTGTCAACCAATTACAGTTCTTAGGAGACAGAATCACACCTAGCAGGGTCATCCACACCTCCTGAGTAATAGAAACACCTGTCAAGTCTTTAGTTATAATCAGGAAATGTCTGAATCACTTTAGTTAAAACTTCTTGGCGGGATTACTCAGGCTTAATTAGGAGATTATTGAAGGGACCAGATTTATAAAATCCATCTCATCCCTTAAAATTACAACTTTTAAAATTTCCAATAAATCACTTTTTAGCTCTCACCCACTCAGTGACGCATATAATTATCACTATTATTATATCTGAAGGTATGAAGACTTGAAAAAAACATTCTGCTGTGTTATGGTGTAACTTGTTGTTTCTTAATCTCTCTATTATTTATGTGATATAAAATAAAAATATTTCTAATTTTGATCAAATTCTTTAGGGTTAGATAAAAAAAAAAAAAAAAAACAAGAAATCAGATTAACCCTAACGCAAAACTTGTCACAGTCTTGGTTCTGTTATGTTTTACTGTGCTCCATTTTTTCTAGTTTTATTGGTTTAATTCCTATTTTGTTGTGTTTTCTGGATATATTTTAGTTCTTATGTTTTTAATTGTTGCCCTCTTGTGTTGGTCTTCTTTTCCCTAGCTCCATTCTAGAATCCTCTCTTCACACCTGCTCCCAATCAGCTCGTTAGTCCTCTCTTTATTTAGTCTCCCATAAATACTCTCCTTGTGCAGTTCCTCAGTGCTAGTTCCTCGTCCTACATCGTCTTTCTTCGTCTAACCCTAGCTCCTCGTGATTGTCTCCATAGTTCTGGTACAATTTGTGGTGCAACAATCCACATACACTAAAAACTCATAGTGTTACAATTATTATGACCTTGGATACATAAAATCAAATTCATAGATAGTATTTTTTTCTTTTTTTGGATGATAATAATATTTATTAAGAAAGCATTTGATTTATCAGAACTTTTAATAAAACAAATATACTTTACAAGGTTATTGAAAGCTTTCAAATGCAGAAGAAGATCTTAAAGCGGATCTGCTGCTTTACGGAGCTGGGGAAGGTTTTTTGCTAGGGTTGTTACACAGTTCTTTGAATTTAACTTACACTTTGACTTAAAAAGATGTCTCTCATTTTCTCTTTCTTTTTTTAGACACGCTGCCTGCGAGTCTAATAACCAAGCACACAAACAAACACATGCACGCGATACCAATTAAAAGTTTCATGTAAATCAATACACCTGATATTACAACCCTTCTATATTACGCGGCCCAAGAGAAGAGCAAACGCTTAATTTACAGTCGCAGACTCCCTCCCCAACTGCTAACTTTTGCAGACATGGTTTTTCACAAGACTAAAATTCCTGGACCATTTAAGATATCTCAAAAATTAAAAATGTACCAGAAAGCAGAGATAAAGGCTTGCGACCCCACAGTCCTAATTATGGCAGGATGTACTATAGGGCTTCAGTAGTGCTGTGACTGTCCCTTCACAGACCTGATTCAGCGGCGCATCAGATGGTTGTAAGGTGAGCTTCTCAAAAGTGACAGTGGTGACAGTCAAACACACCAGAAAAAAGAGGGCCAATCAGGAGCTTTTGGACGGTCTAAACTCAGGGAAGCTGGCTTCAGTCTGCAGTCTTAGGTCCTAGTACTCAACGTTTGTCGATGTACTGTAACGTAACATTTTTTTTTGGTTGATAAGAAAAAATTTATTATGTCCTACTTCCTTTATTATGATTAAAAAACATCACCTTTAGCTATTTTAGAACCAGTTTCAGAAATATTCTGAATGTTAAAGTACAGAAGCACATGTTACAATTTATCAAAAGAAGAGCAGCAGAATGAAAAGGTTGAGAGAAAAGAAAGCCCCCCTCCCTCCAATAAAAAAAAAAAAACTGAAGTTCACCCATTTTTGAACTGTGAAGGATGAATAAATGCAACACCCGTCATTGTGGGGTATGATGCCAAGCACTCTAGGAATGTGATGTGAAGCAATCAAAAGGGCTTCAAAAAGAAGAAACCATGATGCAACCAACTCTTTGCAACCTTGGACACCATTGTTTTTACTTTAATACCAAAAAAAAAAAAAACTTGACAAGACGGACAACCAACTGGGTAAGATTAAATGTTCGGCCTAAAGGCTGGAATTAAAAATGTATTTAGAAATGAATGAGGAGAAGAGGTCACAAAGTAAAATGAAAGAGTTGAGAAGTGTAGCTCGTGTTCATCTCATGTCAACCTTCACTTGAAGAATCATTCATTAGTAAGAAACAAAAAAAAAAAATCACAGGTGAATCCAATTCTTTCATTAGTTTTACGTTGAAATTTGTTCATTCTAATTTTTTTCAAACCATTTTACAGTAGTTGCTAAGAAACTGTGAGGTATTAGATGCACCTCTATTACACAGACAGCTGGAAAAAGCACCCTAATAAAAGGCATGTCAGGGCAGGTTCTTTCTAAGGTCACCCCTATCTTGGTTAACCTTCCCTTATGGCTACTTTGTTCCTTTTTTGCTCCCTTCTTCATAAACAAACAAAAAATATCTTGCAGAACTGACATCTATTTACATTTTTACTTATCCATAACATTCACTTGTCCAAAAAGGCAACGATACTCACTCTTGCACAGCTCGGGCTATAGACAGCGCCGTGGAGCCGGTCTCATTAACACTGTCCAGGGTCACGTTCGGCAGGTCATCATCGTCACTGTCACTTTTGATCTGCCTTGGTGACAGGCCATTGGGGTCTGAGTGTGCTGCAGGGATGGGAACATGGAAACGGGAGTCAGATACATGACACTGGAGCTGTAAACCTATAAGGCGTATCACATTGTCTGTGCTGAAAAGCATCACTAAGTCTAATGAAATAATTCAATTTCATTCAGTTCAAACATGTCTAGTCATTTTTAGCTCTGCGTTCATAAAATATATATTCCTTTTACAAAGAGCTGTGTCCTCAGCCCTCGTATTTCCAATTCCCAACTTGTGGACTGAGCAGTGAACCATGACACTAAACCCAGTGGCTGCGCATTTACAGAGTAAAGAGAGCGCATGAAAGAGGAGACGCACACAAACACACATCCACACATAATCTATAAGAGTTTAAAGCTAGAGAGATAAGAAGCTGGGTGGAGCACTGTTTGGCTGTTGCTGCAGTTGTGGAAACATTAAATGATTTTGTCGTTGCGTGCCCCTGTTAAAAAAATGTAATATAGCTGAATCCAAAGTGCATGTGTACGCATGAGTGTTGTTTCCTAACATATATTACAAAATATTCATGCACATTAAAAGTTTTGTTTTATGTCACATCAAATGTTCAAACATTAAAATCTTTTACATGTTTTTTTTTTTTTTTATATGATACACGAACAGAATGCTGTATTATTTTAAACAGGAATGAAAATTCCAACAAATTTTTTTATTACCAAATAATCTGAAATTTTTACTTTGATGCCCCTAAAAGAAGCGTAATCAGATGGCTACACTTGGAAGTCATCAGTCATCCTTTGTTAGAGAGTATTAGTGAACAACAAACATTATAAAGACTGAGAAACACACCAGTATCCTAAGCTTTGAAGATCTCTGAGAGTGCTGTTCAATCCACAATCCAAAACAGAAAGAGTATGGCACAATTCAAAGTTACTAAGAGACGGGCTGCCACCTAAAGTTACCAGCTGAAAAATCCCCAAAAGCAGTAAAAAGGCCTATGGTAACTCTGGAAGAGCTGCAGAGATTCACAGCTCAGACAAGATAACCTCTTGACAGGACAATTATTATTCAAGGAATCCAGTTTGCAGTTTGAAACAAACCATGTAGACCAACAAAAGTGATGCGATGTGTGATTTGATCAGATTAGACAAAAGCAGAAATTTTAGTTGTAGCAAAGGTTATGTGTGGAAAACACCACCTGATTGCGCAACACATTTTCACTCCCACCTCACCAAATACTCATGCTTGGTCAAAGTCCCCTAAGCATCACAAACATGTACTTACAGGTTGGGGATGTTGTATCATGCGACAAATAAAAAAAAAAAAAGAACATTTAGCCAAAACAGTTATTATTGAAAGCTTTAGGTGGGCATGGTAACATGTATAAGTGTCTGATTAGGTTTAGGGGTTAGGTTAAAGGATGGGTCCTTATTTACATTACAGCTTAAGGAAACATTTTCTAAGTTAGGTACCACCATTGCATCAGTATCTGATGTGACAGGAGCTGGACCATGCATCAATAATTGATGTAAGACTGTATTGGACAGTGATACATAATGGCGTGACCACCATAATATGGGGATGCTTTTCTAATGCAAAGAAAGGAAACTGGTCAGAGATTACTAGATGATGAATGGAGAGGAATACTGGGCAGGATAACCAGTCATAAACCTGTGGATGACTCTAGAGTGGTAAAGGATCTGGTCCTGACCCCTGTTATGACTCCTGTACTCGACACATTATACTAAATCAGTTTTTTTATGATGATATGGGCTGACAGAATAAAGCATGATTGACTGTATCCTTAGACAAATCTAATCATACCTCTTTACAGTTTTTACAGTTTAATTTACCAATTATTTATTCAGCAAATGTATAGAAACACCAATGCATAGACCATCACAATCCTAAATATACAATAAAAACTACAGTATGATCATTTAGATCAAAGCAGTTGTGTGTTAAAACAAACCAGAAACAAGAGAGAGGAAGGAAATAATTCAATCTCAATATCTTTCAGCAAAAAGTGACATTAACTGCCTTTACCAAACGTTCATGAAATTCTTCTATTCCTTTCATTTTACTTCCCAAATATGCAGAAATGCTGGTTGTAAAGTTAAACGATACTAAAAGTTTTGTGAAATGACAAAATGTGCAAAGGAGCATAAATACTTATATAAGGCACTTTGCAACTGACAGAAATAAAACCCACACAGCTCTATAATCAGCAAGTACAAATTATCCTTTACCTGACTGCTCTTGTTGGCTAAGCCACAAAGAAAAAAGTCTCATGTCACTGAAATAAATCTTTAAGTCAGTTGGACAATTTCACATGCAAGAAAGTTACATCATTGTGACAATTCGTCCTTTGGGCAGAAATTCGGGTACTTTGCCAGAGCTCAGAGAGATCCGTCTCCATGGACACAGGAAGCGAACATCCTGGAGTACTCCAGAAATCATTGTCAAGAAGAAAAAAAACATAAACACAGACCTGATCGAGAGTACTTGTCAAAGAAAAGGTGCTAAAATCTGCAGTAATGGAGCAGTTTCACAATTAGAGTGGAAAAAAAGGAAAGAATCTGAAATTATATGGCAAAGATTTTATGTCTGAAGATAATACACCCGGCAGATGGAGCATATATGGATATATAGAGTGGTGTTCACTAATGTCTGCATCTCTAGTTACTCTGAGCTTTAGGCTTTTATAAGCTATCAGGACTTCACCTCCTCTGCCCTCTCAGCTGAGACTGTGTCCATAATGGTCCATAATAATGGTCTTGAGTTGGGAGCCGACATGGTGTTATTACTGAAGGGGTGGAGTGGAGGGGACACAGAAATAATCCTTAACTCGGCTGGACTTTTGCTTTGAAAGGTTCTGCACTGTCGCCACAGATGAAGACATGCAGAGTGGTCAGCGGCCCTGTGAAAAACCTGTAATTAGTTCAAAATGCATCACTGGAAGGGGGGGGGGTTCTGAAAGACGGACACAAAGGAGTATTGGTGGAGAGGTGGGCAGAGCGCTGGATTTCTTTCTTTCGCTCCTGTTGTTTCCAGTCAAGCCCTGTTTCCATGGAAACCTCCTGCCGGAGACAGGCAGACAGCAGTGAAAGAAAAGGATACCCACCCTCACTGAAAGAGGGTGGCCGACCTGTATGTGTGTGTGTGTTTGCACAGAACAGTAGGTGTAAGAGTGCATCTATAGGTCTTAGTTGAGAACTGAAAAAGGTGCTCATAATAAAGTTCTCCTTGGGGAGGAGGGGGCTTATTTTAATGCTTTATTCAACCAGAAAAATCAAATAAATTAGTTAGAATAGTAATAAGGACCGACCAGGTCATGTTAAATCAAAAGAGCACTAGCAATACAATTCATGCACAACAGAAAAATTTAATTGGCAGCCTCATCAGCTAAAAACTTAATGTGTCGGTTATTCACACTTTGAGACAAGCTGCATTTATTGGTCAGAAATTTACATAGCATCTTAACACTATGTAAACTCTATCAATCGCTTAAAAAGGTGTGATGAAGCATTTATTATATTTCACCAGCATTAAGGAGAACAAAGTTACAGATGTAATATTTTCTTAGCTTTAAAAAAGAGACTTGTATTAATCAGTGGAGGAAACTGGGATTAGCTGAAATGTCTTTACAAACAGCTTGATAAAGAAAATATACTGAGTTTCTATGTTAATTTAAGCAATAATTGTTGGTGACAGAATGAAACTTCAGACACTGAACATATTTATTTAAGGTTGCCTTTTTCATTCAAAACTAGAATTGAGTTTCCCAAAATTTAATCTAACAACATTAAAAAGAATGTTTAAAATGACATAAATACTGTGGGGCCTGATAACCTGTTGAATCAACAGACATCACTGTGTATTTTGCATAAAGGTGAAAATTAGCATTCAATGGGCCTCATGCAACATTTTGTGTTCTTGTCATAACTTTCTCTTATTTTTTCACCTAGGCTCCTAAAAGCGCACCGCATCAGATTCAACACATTCTTAACTTCAGATAACTTTGTACATAATTCTCGTTAATATGATGCATTCCACCCTGTGCATAAGGGAGTGCATTCATGAGAATTTCAAATTAATTTTAAACTAAAAATAATTTGATCCAAATGTTGTCAATAACATGTTGAGCAAGAGCAAGAGAGCCAATGAAAACTAATGGTGGAGGTAAGAGGTGCACCATATAATGTAATGAGTTCACCATCAACCAACATGAGACAACATACTGTAAAATCTACTTTTAATACACGTGTACTCCTGCAATGTACATTTCCAGACCACGTGTCATCTTTTCATTGCACTCAATACATTGCACTAAATATTAAAATGTTAATAGTGAAACCCTAATTTGACAAATTCAGACAAACCCAAACATTCTATGCTTTATAAGTAACAACAAAGCCAAGGAGCTGCCAAAAAGTGAAATGAATGCACGTGTTAGGGTTAGAAGAGTTTCAAACAGCAATGCACTGCTGAACCGCATTTCTAAACTTTCTATTCATTTTCTGTTCCAGAAGTTATTTCAATAGTAGCGGGATCTCAGAAAGAGCTCAGTGACAGTTCTTTCTTTAGATGAAATGACAATAAATTAAACCTGGATTAAATTGCAACTGGATACCACATGCCAGCTTTAAGTGTAGTGACAGATATTTCTGTGAATAAAACCCATCCAGGAGGAATACTTATAAACCCAACTGAACGAGGTGCCTAGTTTTCACACAATATGGTTCTGTGGGAAAGATATCCAGCCAGCCAATTTAGTTTGATTTCAGTTTTATTTATTTGACCATATGATATTGGGCTTTCAATAAAGAAACATAGCAAACATATCTAATCCAAGCAAAATTATAAGCCGATATCAGTCTATCAATGCACTGTCAAAACTCCCTTGCCTTTGTAGTACAGCAGTGATTGGGCAAGTGATGGAGTACACCCTGTTAAGTTCAACATTCTTTGCAGTAATACCCAATATGCTGTTGGAATTTTGACCCGGAGCCTTTTTTTTAACATTAAGTCTTATGTGACAAATTAGCTCAATAGTCTGCTTGTCTTGTTGGCCTGCTACATCCACCACACCCAACGCGCAACACTAATTCACAGTATTTCCTCTGTTTCGGTTTGATTCTATTAGAGCCAATGCTGAGTATTGCATGCATGCAAGCATGTGTTTGTTTATGTGCCACCCATCTTTAATATCCAGCAACATCCACACCCTTTGGTGCAAGTTTTGTTTTTCTTATACTTCCCGCTTCTTTCCTCTCCTCTCCATGAAAGCAGATAGACGGTATTTAAAACGCCCCATCTCTAAGGACCACCCCACCCAAGCAGCCAAGTGTCTGTCTGAGCATATGCTCTAATTACACCTTTGTTGTTTTGCTTGTATGTACAGAACATACTGTACATGGGCGTGAGTGCAATTCTAAATGCGTCTATCCGTTTTCTGCAGGGAGTGACGAGGAGCGACCTCTTTTGCAACCATAAGCTGCTCTGTGTACTTCGTGGACTTGGACTGAAACACCTCCTGTAGGCTTTCTTCCAGCAGCTGGCAGTAAAACCACACCCAAAAAAAAAAAAACCTCAATACACAGTAAAGATTGTACCAGAAGTCTAATACTCAAATTATCTTACATATCTGCCTTTGAAGACAGGCTGTTGAAGACAGAAATGCCATTTTATCTGTAAACCTTATCATTATTCAAAAGGTGCAACATGTTTGCATCCAAAGACCATTTATAAACACCTTCGGCAATAAATCTGCAGGTAAATTAACTATACTCCTCAGAACAGACTTAAAACAACTGTACACACCATGGGTTAGAGTATCCAATGTCACAATCCCCTTAATACCACACCACCCTTTTTCCTTCCACTTAACCTTTCCTCAATATATTTAAATGTAATAATCTATCAACAGCCAGTTTCTTAAGCAATATTCTGTAGTGGCTTACTTTAAATGTGAAGAAGGTCAAAGAGAGTGTGCTTGATATCTTGAAGTCAGCAATTTTCCCCACGATTATGTTAAAAATGTATTAACACACATGAAAATTACTTTACCCATCGTTTTGGAGTAATGTCCCGGATAGCCATAAACCTTAATTCTCGAAATTAAATAAAAATATAGACTTCCAATATCTCTTAAACTATGATTGTTTTATGCTGGTGAAGATTCTCAGTCATCCAGGTCATGGTCATTCCAAAAAAGTAAAAAAAAACAATCCACTGGACTCGGTTTACAAGTTTTCAGATGGAAGCATTTTCTAAAAAAATTGTCAGAACTAGAGTTGAGTTGGAAGTTTTATTTATATAGTTTATATTTTGGGCTACAATGTAAAGTTTTGAACTCTATGCTAATTCTGACCTTTTGAATTGAAAAAACTTCCTGGATGGGAAGCAAAACATCTTCAAACTCGGAAACAAAGTCCAGTCGATTGTTTATTTTTCAAACTTTTTTGGTATGATCATTTTATTTGGACCTTTTTTCAGATGGGAATAAATACGAGTGAGCTTTTCAGCATTAATATCTCCAGGATGGGCTGATATAAACCTATTGTTTATAGTATGCCCATTTTAACGAAGAAGAATCCATGATAGTATGGGCCTTTTTTTCTTACAAAGACAGTGGGAACCTTATTAGATTGAACAGCTACACTATAAGGAGATTTTATAAAGAAAATTGGGTAGTCTCTGCTAAGAATCTCTAATTGGTTTGTCCATTATCGATATAATATAAAAATTCAAAGTCCAAAAGAAAATGATGTCCTCATCAGACACAGATCACATGTCTTCAGCTTGATGTGGAATTTTCAAAAGGTTCTTGAGTTTGAGTTTATGATACTGGAAGAACAGATGAATTTATGTTGAGGTTGATAGCACATCTTTGGCACAACATCTTTTGACCTTATGTCTGCACTGTATCGTTTGTAACCAGTAGAAGGTGAGGCATTTAAGAGCAGTTGGAGGAGACATCTATTAGGAAGCAGAAAACCTTTCTATGCAAAAAAAAGTCACTAATCTGCCATTTCTTTTTTTCTTTACATCCATTAGGTTAAACTTTAAGATAAACATTTCCTCACCGACACTACTTCAAAATTTATCGTTGAGAAAAAAAAAAAAAAAAACAGCTTAATAAAAAGAAATGCTTTACAAAGCCTAAGGAAAACAATCTAGAGTGGAGCTGCCTTGACTCGGTACAAAACGTTTGCAAGGATGTCTGGCTTCACAAAAGCAAAGTGGAAAGAAAAAATAGCTGGTGAAACAATTCTCTGCTGTATTGTATGTAAAGTTTACCTGGTAGGCAATGATATCTGGTAGATGCATGAAATCTAAAACTTTGTATTTACTTTTATGGGTTCTTTGATTGCATAACTACAGAAGAACCACAACAGAATTACATTTTTTCTTTAAATTCGAAAAAGAACAAAGTCATCCTCATAAATATGTAGTAAACCCAAAGAGTATGGTCTCACCTTTGCCCTGGCTTTTGGCCTCTTCCAGCAGAGGTAGCATGATAGCACTGTTGAGGCTGGAGGGCGACCGTACTGCAGTGGTGTACATGAGGGGCAATGACTGTACCACAACTGGTATGCGGTGAACATGGCCGGCCAACTTCCCAGCTCCCTGCAGGCTCAGAGGACTGGACGGAGGCGGTGGCACAGACTGCAGAATGTGCAAATACGGCTGACCTCTCACCCCACTTCCGGGGGCAACCAGGGGGCCTGGAGTGAGCACCGAGGAGGCTGAGGTGATAACCGATGGAGAAGACGAGGAGGAGGAGGATGAAGACAATGAAGATGGAGAAAAGGCGGATCTGTGGGGGGGCGACGTCGAGGAGGTTGTGCTAGTGGTGGTGGTGGAGGACAAGGTCAAGGGACGGGGCTTGTTGATTGACAGGTCCACTGGTTCTGTCTGCGTGTGGAAGTGCAGGTCATGATGAGCGAGGAGGTCTTCTGGAGGTTCAGATTTAACTCTGCTGAGAAAGAAGGGGACGCCATCCATTGCAGAGTAAGGTCGAACTTTAGGGGACTGTAGGAGTAAAACAAAAAGGACATTAAGAGTTTTGTTATTTTAAAGCTGTAGAAATGCATTAACCTGCGACATACAAAACGGAAGAAACAAATAAGTGAGGCCACAGGCATAAAAAGCAGCTTAAATCTAATCTTTTGCCCATCAGTGAGGCCAAAAAGTTGCCTGTTAATGAACAGGGGTCAAAGACAATTGTTTTTACTCATTTAAAGCTCTGCAGAAATAATTACTCGGCATGATAGCAATGTCACAAAAGGCATATGCAGTGACATTTATATACTGTAGAAAGGGGTAGCATCAAGGAAAGCAACATAAAATGCAGGAGTAATGATACTGGCGCTCACGCTCGCCTCCTCTAGTCTTTCTTTCCTCTTGGCGTGGGCCGCGCTCGCTCCCTCTTCCTCCTGTTTTCCATGACTCCCACTCAAATGCAGCTCTCTTGGCTACCCACGTATCTCTCCTAAATCTCTCTTTCTGACTGTGGAAAAACATCATGTGGGCTTAATTTCCTGACCGTCTCTTAGGCAAAGGGCCTCCAAAGGCCGACGCTGGTGGCTTGAAGGAACCCTAAGCACATCTTTGACTTAACACCAAGCAGATTGGGACAAGACTGTTTCATGTGGCTGCAAGTTTAAGGGAACAGTTTGAATCTGAGAACACTGCCCATTCTGCAGTTACTGAATGTGTTCTGTAAACATAGAGACATTAGCCCTTGCTTATTAACAGTGTTTTGGTCATGAAATATTAAATTCTCCTGAGTCTGATCTGGCCAAAAGTCTTGCATCACTTAATTAACTGATTATTTAAAAAGCACTTTGCAGAGCTGTATCACTATCCTAAGCTCCTAAATAAACCAAATTAAAAAACAAAAAAAAGCAGGAACAGTAGAAAAACTGAAATGAGTCACTAAGCCTATTCTTTCTTTGAATAGACTTACATTTGCTTTTTACCCTACATAATTTGGAGAGAATTTCACATTAGCATGTGAGAGCATTTTTATGCAGTAGTCCCTCGATTTAGCTCAATTTCTTTCTTAAATGAATAATGTTACCACAAGCAAATGCATTGTATTCTAATTGAATGTTATGTAATAGAGCAATTAAAGCATGATTGTTTTAGGATGCATTTTCTTTGGTTTGTCTCTAACACATCAAGTTTGCTTTAAATTGTACAGCGTAGTTTTGGCTTTATGTTTAGGGTTGTTTTGAAGTCTTTTACAACCTCTGACAGCCTATGGTCCACTGGGGCATAGGCCTTTCATCTTCCCATCAATTTGACCAGCTTCCCCATCCACACTGAAGAAAAACATCCCCAGAGCATAACATGCAACATTCATGTTTTACTGTGTGGAAAGATAGTTTATGGTAAAGTATAGGTTTAGTTTAACACAACAGAGTTCTTTTTTTTTTTTTACAATTAATATTTAACAATAGGCAATAGTGCAAAGCACCTTCCATATGTTAAAAATATATCCTTCATAGCCTGCTGCAAACTGTGAATGACCTGTCTGCTTGACACACCTTAATAAGGGCGAGGTCTGTAACTTACGTTAAGAGACATTCCTACCTGAGCGACAGAGATCTGCAGCTCCGCCATACTTAGCACGGTAATCTTAATCAATTCTCTGATTAATGCAATCATTAAGCTTCTTAATTCATGTGGACGGCCATGTTTTGGTAGATTTACAGCTGTGGCACATTCTTTTGCTAAGGTGGAAGACTGCTTTATTAAAATGTCCACAAAAAGTCTCCCCAACACTGATGGTTTAACAGAATAGATGCACAGGATTATATTTATGGCTATTAGACTTTGAAGGGCTTCAAATAAACTCCATCCCTTTTAAAAGTATTTGTAACAAAAATGATCTAGCCTTTGCTTCATTTTCTACCAAATGCATTTCTTACCATGAAAAAAATTGTTGTTCTTTTACAGTCAGATACATTGGGGGTTGTGACTATAATGTGGCAAAGTGTGATAAAGTTTAAGAGGTGTGAATATTTTTGCAAGACACTATAGTTAGAGTCCTTATTTGCACATTTCTAGAAACATTTCTGAGCGTGAAGATTCTGCTTGTACAACTCAGCCCCAGTTGTAAAACAAATGGTGCCCTATGAAATCTGCCCTCCTATAGCCTCGGGAGCTTTGAAGGGTTCAGCTCAGGGCCACTGATGTCAAGTCAAGATTCAAAATACATGACGGTCTGGTTCATATTTACCACCCACAATGTCTCTTCCGTAGAGTTTTATAACACTATATTTACTTGTCGTTAAGTTTATCCACGCTACATAAAATACAACATAAATTACTCTAAATATGATATACCAAATCCACCATATATATAGAAAACCAATGAGTTGATCCTTCTTCTTCCATATACATTTTTTTTCCATCAGTGCAGTTCAGTCCAAGACATTACTGGTTGCTCTCACAAAAAAGAGCAACAATGAATATTTAAATCATCTAAACAGAATTCTCCTAATAATTAAATAAACAATTACATTATCCAAAGGTTCAATAGGATAATATTTAAGATGCTATGGATGAGAAATCGCACCAACAGCTGCAGCCGTTGCGTTAAAAGAACAGCCTCCCAACTTTTTAAATTGAGCTTCATCAATCTTCTGAAATACTAGTAGCTCATAAACAGGTAACTGTTGCCATTTTTCCACCTAAAAGAACTAAAACAAAACAAAAAAAGGAAGAGGGCTCAGAGTTATAGTTCAGTTACACAGGAATACCATGAGAGGAAGCTTGGCAGCCTTACAGATCTCGGCATATTGTGAGCCAACTTACTGTAGGTCACCTGCTATTCAGCTATAAATAAACTCTACAAAATAATTTTCTTCATACTTAATCTAGAAAAACTGTAATTAATATACTTAGAGAGTAAATAGTGATGTTGTACCTTGTTCAGACAGATGGATTATTATGCTGTTTTACTACAATTTATAAATATTTAACGTAATGCTACATTATTCAATCAGTACTCTGACAGGAATTGCTATATTTTAAATGTTGATCTGTAGTTGCAGTGGATTAATATGACGGAATTAAAACCCAGCCTGGAAATTTGAGTACTTTTGGAACAATATGATCTGTTTCTCTAACAATTCTGGAGGTTTCTCTTTTTTTTATAAGCTTTTTCCAAGTTAATTTTCCATCAGTATTCAGTAACATATCAGATGGCACAGAGGCAAATATCTTCTAGCTATTTTTCAAAATATAAATGCGGAGGCAATATGTAATTCAAATAAGGCGGAGGATCTTCATAAAGGAAGTCGTGGAAGGAGCTCATTGTCTGAGGAGGTTTATTCTGTCAGAACCATAATCAAAGGGTTTAAAACACGTAGCTTTAGGAAACACAGCAAGATAAAAACCCAAAGTTATTTTAATACATCCAGATGCAATTATTAACATAGTAAGGGACTAAAAGATTGTGCGAAAAAAAATGTTTAGCTAACTTCTACAAGAGCAACATTTTAGAAGATCAAAGTTTCACAATAACAATAACAAAAATCCTGGTGCTGATCCTATTGTTTCCCATATAAAAGCCCAGAGTAAACACTACAAAAGGGGAAAACAGTCTACACAGGTTAAACCTTGACAAAAGCCACAAATCAGTGTTTTGCCACAGAATTAAGAATCTCTAGTTTTGTAAACATCTTTATTACAACAACAATTTAGAGCTGCTCAATATAATGGCGATCTAAATTCAATATGCTTTCATATTTTTATATTTTTGCTCTAGAATAAAACCTGAAAAAAAAAAAAAAAATAGAATGGGATACTTTTTTTCTAATAATCCGACAAAATCCCAAACTGACCTTCCTGAGCAGTGGATGACTTTAACCTTCTGTATGCCATGTACTGTAGCCTTATCTGTAACTGGGGTTCAAGCTGTCTGACTAAAACTGCAGGGTGCAAGGGTGCATCTGTTACATATAGACTAAACACACACACACACACACACACACATATATATATATATATATATATATATATAGCAGCGCCCGCCTCCTCATATATATATATATGATTTAAGACTATATGAAATCAAGCAAATAACATTCATGTTCAAATTGAACTGGGTTCTGAGAAAACTACTTGTCCCACCCAATAGGGCCTTATTGTGACAAAAAAAGGATGACTGTTTATTACTTTAATTTAAAAAAAACAGAAAACAATTTCTTCTGTCTAATTTTTTTAGAGGATGTTAACAAAAGCAATGATGCGTTACACAAAACACACAAACCAGAAAACTGTGTTTTTCGGGGCTTGGTTCAAAAACAACTCTCAACCGTCAAAAATGGAAAAAGCTGAAGCCACCCCCAGTCTCGTCTCAACAGACGCAAAAACACACAAGCTCAGTCCTGCACACACACACACACACTGATACACACATAAAGATACGCCCGACCTGCCTGTCTGCCTCTGTCCTCATACATTGTCTTTATTAGGGGATACTGGTTAGCCGGGCAGATTTTCCAGCCCCTTGCAGGCGAATCTCCTAACGAGGCAGACCATTTCCAGCAAAGGATTGGCTTCGTGCCACTCAAATGAAGACCACATTTCGGCAGCAGTCTAAACTGTCTGCATCTGCCATGTAAAGGGGAAGCTCAGTCTGTTAGGGCAAGATTGGATCTCTGAGCACTTCAAAGCTGTGTGGGCTGCACAGCGCTCACATCCTGTCTATGACTGACATCACTACAAGGGGAATGATTTCAAACCCCAGGTATTAGGTAGAAGCACAGGAGCACGGCTCTTAAAGCCTTGAGCCACAGCTGAGAGCAGGACACCCAGAAAGGCAACCACCTGTCGCCACTTTTCCCAACCTCTCATATGTGGTGAGGAAGATGAATTTGTTATCAACGGAAGGCACCCTTATGGCTTAACAATTTTCCTCCAGATCTGCAACAACCTGATGGCTTATCAGAAGCCAGTATTTATCTACCACAAAGAGAAACACTGTGATGCTTTCCACAAAAATATGTTTCTCATACATTAGAAGTAAAAATACACCATTGATATTTTATGAGGGTAAATTGATCGTGTTTGAACACTAATCTATCGCAATTACAAATATTAAGTGGCCTGCACCCACTGAACACACCGCTATGACAGAAACACAGAGCCACACAGGCCTGGTAACCAAGCAACAGTCTCACAATAACAAGACCACTTCATTTCTAGGTATGTCATCGCAGGGAGTGTGGATATTGTACAGTATGTGAGCTTTAAAAGCAGAGCAGCTGAAAAGTAACACTAAATCCTCCTATGTGTCTTTGCAGTTGAAAACTCGAGATAGAAGATGAATATTTCTGCCGACTCTAAATATATAGCAGATTTTTTCTGTCTCCATCCCAGCGGTTCCTAAAGTTTGGGCTAGAACCACCATTGCAGACCTTTAAACGCTGTTCTGTCTCAATTATTGCAGAGATATAAAGATAAGCTCTGAGTGTATAAAATCAGATCACTGATTATAAAGTCTGCAGGAATTGTTCTCACTTAATTAGCTTAGCATCATATTTCTATATCTGAATCAGTGATTTGCTGGGGTCACAAGTCTAAGTCGTGACTATAGGGTGACCTATAAGCCTAAAAAGGGAAATACTGCTTCATCAGTGTCTGCAAAAGTAAATATATGAAAAAGTTTAGCACGTCATTTGATAGTGACCTTACAAATGTCCTTTCCATCAGTAAGATAAACATATGATTTATGTATGTATGTTTTCTTAGGAGAAGGGGATTCTATTAAAGTCCTTGCATTACAATCAGCAAAGACCACTATAAAGAGAACATGCAAATGAATATTTAACACTTTCCTGGCATCCCCATTCAACAAAAATTAAAGAGTTTTGAGCAAATCATCATTTGCAAAGTACATGGATAAAGGTGGTGCCCTGCCAATAATCTTCCATTGGGGAAACATGTATTGAAAATAAAGAATAATGTTTTTTGGACAGAGTGATTTCCTTATTGAAAAGGAAGAAAATGTAAAATAGCAAGCACTTTGTTAATTTGAGCTTTTACATCTACACTCATATGTGATACAGCTGCTTTATCAAAAAAAGCATTTCTTTTTCCTTCCTTATTTACATTCATTGGAAGATCAGTGGCAGTGTTATGCATATATCTTTGATTTCCTGTGTTAGTAGGCCTAATTATCATCATCTGTGTTAGATATTAAACAACACATACCTGGTGACAATCATAGGGTTCAAAAAGTCTGATTTGGTCTTGGCCGTTGTCCTACAAGCTGTTAGCATTAGCCTCCAGATCCAACTAATCTAGATTAACCAAAGATGCTATAAGAACCATCAACAGTAGGTAGGCTGTTATCATCTTATAGCCTTTTAACATAACCTCATTTAAAACATATTAACTGTTCAATGCATAAATGTAAACTGGTTAGGTAGGATGAAACAAACAGCTCCAAACAGCATTTGCAGTTCATATAAAAAAAAAAAAAAAAAAACAGACAGGGGCTCCATGGAGATGCTGAAAGAATGTTGTGGATGCAAAAAGAAAAAAAAAAAAAGACAGACATATAATTTTTTCCAAAAAACACAAAGTAATGGTCTAGTGTGGTAATATAAAACAGTTTTAAAAAAAAAACAAATTCAGGTATCTGAAGCTAGTCAGAAGTTTTGTAACTGAATCAGAAAATGACCAAAATGCATAACTCACAAGCCCAAATTTGGGTTCATTAAAAAAAAAAAAATATATATATATATATATATATATATATATAAATGAATGTGTTAAAATGAGCAGTTAGGATGTCCGACCTTATTCACGCAGAAACACTGTGGAATAACCTGAAGTGAGCAACTCGTTTTAGAATTGGAAGCATGCCTTCATGGATGAATTGGCTCAAATTCTTTCAAGCTGATACCCAGGACTGATCAACAGTTACAGGAAACATTTAGGTGGAGTAAATAATGAAGTCATACCACATAGCAAAAGGATAACTTTGTTTCTCAGGCTATCAGTTATGCATATTGACTTGTTTTAAGATCCATGTATATCTCATGTGTAACTATATGAGGTTTGACATTTCTGGATTGTAGAGAAATAGTGATAAGTTTGCAAACTGTTAATGTCAAACCTGGGGCTGGTTGTGGGAAAAAATCTCTGAGCGACATTTTTTTATTGAGTGATAACAGTGACAAACATCACTTTAAATGTAAGATATGTCCAAGACTACATGTAGTGTTTGCGCAAATTTGCGTGCAAGAAACAGATATTATTCATATGTTTGTCAGAGTTCCTGGCAAAAGAGGGTGAAGGCTAAACTGAGCAGAATAAAAAAGCAGCAACAGACAAAGCCAGATTAGATTTGGAGTTTCCCATGCAAACTCTCCTCCCCAGAGCAGTGACTACATCTGTGCACTAACCCTCCACCTCCACCCCCCTGCTTGCACGGACTCTGTTGGCCCGAGTCACCTCCCAATAAGACCCCACTGCATTCCTGCTCCAGCTGTGGCTCTCCTCCTCTTTTCGTGGTTCCTCTCTCTTTTCTCTGCCTACCACCATGCTCCCCAACCACACCTCGTAGCCCCCACACTCACTAGCTAAGGCCTGGGAGTGATTATCAACCCATTGCCAGGAGGCGGAAGAGAAGAAAAGGAAAGCAGAGGGAAAAAAAAGGAAAAAAAAGAGGAATTGTCTGGAAAATAACTGCTCTCTTACCCCTTGTTCCGATTCCAGGGGCTCGGCTTTGACTCGGACTGCCGGCATTCCGTCAAGCATTAACATCCTGTTTCTTAGGCTGCCTGTGAAGGAACACAGAGGAGGTGTAAGACGGGTGTTTTGGCATGAGTAAGCAGGTCCCACACTTTGTTATTCACACACTGAAATTTACAATGTATTGGCTGCATCCATTGGGGAATGGGCACATTTTAAATAGAAATGATGTCTGGTTGAAAATCATTACACCAAAAATGTGGAAAGCCAGCACGCATAGAAAGTCTCCTTCTTAATCATTCTTAATATCCTTGTTTGCTGCTGTGAGGCTTATGCAATAACACTGATTACAATCCTCTCAAACCATTAGTGGAATACAAACTCATGCAGTGCCCTCATCCAAGAATAGGAGAGGAGTTTTATTGACCACTAACTCTGTGAATATAAACAGTAAGAGTTTCGCCTTGAACCTTTCCCTAGTACAGTGTGTGTCTATTATACACACACCAACACAACATCTGCACATCAGTTCATCCCTTCTACCTTGTGGTGTTATTTAAAGTGGGCAGCAGCGCCCGCCTCCTCAGTTCCACGCTGCGGCTTTAAGAGGGATACTCAGATGGAGCCAATGACAACAATGCATGTTCCGTACCCCCCCCAGCTGGAGCCGACCTGAGGTAACCCTCCCTCTTATTATTTTAGCAGCGGAACACAGAGGAATGCAAGCAAGACAAATAGACTCCAAACATCTCTATTACTATCCAGCCTTGGCACCGCCAGCCAGAGTTTGTGTCTTGGTCTTTGTAGTTAGCAGCAATAAGGTTATTGCAATCATGAATGTGAAACAGGTGATGAAGAAGAAGAAGAAGACACATTGATATTGTACAGGACACAATAAAATGTATTGGTTGGGATGGCATACATATAAAATCTGTTTGCAAGGCATTGCAAAAGAATCCATCCTACTTGAAGATTTTTCACACTATAAATTTCCATGAATTTTGTGGGGACTTTGTAAAATAAAGCTTTTCAAATAATTGCAGAACTGTGGATGGAAATTGATAAAAGCTTTAAAATATTGTTTCAAACCAAATCATGTCCAAAAAGTGTGGCAATCACTGACAAATTAAAGTACAAGAAACCCGCCAAAATAAGGCTACAAAAACAAAGCACATATAAAAAAAACATTATGGATAGAAAGTGAAGTTTAACCGTTCATGTAATATGAAATTGGAGCCTTTTTTTAAAGAAATTCACTAAGTTGAGACTAACTAACATATTGGTCTAAAACTACATTTATTTGCTCTGAAATTCTATTATGTTGTATAAAAGGTTTGGTTTGTCTTTGGAAATTCTGTAAAACATCCAGGTCCTTTAGCCACAGAGTATTCAAATAAAGATTTTTGGATCTTTCATGGTCAATAAAATTTCAAATCAGATTTACCTGATACAAGTGTTACTATTTTCAGCAGATTGAGCTTCTTTAACAGCTGGGGAGGGTATAATTTAGCTCCATTTACCTGCATGAAGCTTTTACCATCATGTACCACTATGTGGATGGTGTGTTTGAGGTCATGTGTGATGCAGATTTATTGAATCACATAGTGCTTTTGTAGATACCACAAAGTGAAATTTTGGACTTATCTGATCAGATTGACGTCCTATCGTCTAATTAAACAAAAAATATTTTTGTGGCTTTAAAGACAAATTGTTTTCTTAACACCAGATTCTCCTATTTTAATTTGTGCTGCTATGTGTCTTGTGATGTAAAAGTCTTCAAAAGAAAATGATTGATAGTGCACTTCACTGTTTTAATCTATGCAGCAGATGTTGGAACGTCTAGCATGAATAAAGAAAAAGCCACATAATTCACAGTCTTTTTTCTAATATTTCAAACCAAGTTATGACTTTAAGAATATTGAGAAAAGTCCAAGTTGGATCAAAACATTATCATTAAAACTCTGTCTATTAGTAGTGTGCAGGCTTCTCTCCGTCCTTAAAATGCAAGCCTTTATAGCTCTGCTTTCCCACAATAGGTACCATCTATTATTAAACTAGCATTAGGATTAATAACTACTGGTATCTTATTATTTCTCAGGTCATTTTTTTTAAGAAAAAAAAAGACATCAATAATAACCGTTGCAGAAAAATAATCAAGAACCTTTTCTTTTCAGAATTTCAAGCTGGAGGCTAATCCTGGCCATTTGTGCTTGAGGGGAGGCAGGGAGAGAGAGAGCGGATTTACTCCCCCCACCCCCACCAACCCCCACCAGAGCTGGCCTCTCAGGTCTAACTCCCTCAGGTACCCTGGCTGTGCTGCTATTGTGTTGTTGTCCAGGATGTCCTTCGGCTTCAGGTCTTGGTAGGCCCAGATAGCGTTGCCATAGTAACAGTTGGCGGGTGGAGCAGCAGCCTTGGTCCAGCCTTAAGCCATGTGTTGAGGAGAAAATAAAAAGGGGAGTGTGTTCACAGAAGCAGAAAGTCGGATTTGTTTTTCTCTGATTTCATGCAAAACCGTTTTCTCCTCATCCAAAAAAACAACTTTTTTTTTTTTCTTTTTTTCTAAAAGGAAAACTTCATTTTACAATCTGGAAAAGTTTTTGTATTTTATATTCAAACCGATGCTCATTTCTTGAGAGCAACATGCATTCCATTAGTGCTCCAAAGTCTAGTTAACCCAGTGGTGTTCAAACCCTGTCCTAATGAACTGGCCTGCAGAGGGCCATTCATAGGAAATCAATGGCAGTTGCATAGCTCTGCTTGTGACTGCAATGACCAAAGAGTGCACCGCAGTAAAGAGAAACCCAACACTGCGTAACGAGCTAACAAAAGACCCATAAAAATCTTGAAATCAACAACTTTTGCCCATGTAAAAGAATAATTTCTGCCTACAAAGTGTAGGATAATACAGGTTGAAATATAGAAAAAAATCTGAATTGATAGTTTCTACAGGATAACAAACCAGTGCATGTCCAGTGTTATATAGCACAACTTTTTGGTGCTGGTGGCATGCCCAGGCAACCAGCAATGAGTTGTCCATCAGCGACGTGAGATGCTGTTTGTGGGAGATAGAGAAGTGGGGGAGGGAAGTGGAAGGAAACGGGGTAGATTAAGATCACCTTTCCATTTGCTCCACTCCTAAATGAAATAGCCATCCCAGGTGTGTGTGGGGGAGTCAGTGAACAGAGAAGTGCAGTGAAGTGTTGAGGAATCTCATTTCTCCCTCCAGCAAGCCCTGCTCTGCCTTCCGATACAGTTTGGACATTTAAAGCTAAAGTTAAAAGTAGCAGATATAGTAAGATGCCTGTCAACTCTGAAAAACTGTGCGTTGGGGTGATAATGGCTTTTTTTAAATCCCTGGTATTGGTAGTCACTGATGAAAGTCATGTACTCATACAAATAGCTGCATAACTGAAACACAGGGTGTATACAAAACGACATTTCGTTCAGTACAGCTCTCATCATGGTGATCAAATGTAAACATGATATAGAGATATGATATGATGAGATTGATTTACCGGTTTTCCAACATTCAGTGCTTTTTTTTTTTTTTAATTCAACATTCAGCATCATCAGGTTAGAACCAATCAGACAACTACAGATGTGACGCAAAATCAACTCTCTTTTTTTTTTTGTGTAATTTTGTAGTCGGTGAAACAGCTAAAAGCCATTGAAGACAGGGCAGCTGGAGGTACTTTTGAACAGGGGGTGCTATGAAATTTTTTATTTTTATTTTTTTGACAAAAAACCTATACAATACAATAAAATAAATAAGTAAATAGATTGAGACTCACTACTTTATTGTCATATACACTTCAGTGTACGCAACCAGGGTCTGTAACACACAGACATCATATGTTCTCAGGTGAATATATGCGCTGTTGATTAAACCTTACAATAACACTATAACAACATAGATTTGATCAGCTGGCATGAACCTCAGTCACTGACATGACTATTAGCTCCAAAATCCTTTTACACAAACCACAAAATAACATTATATTGATACTATTTATTTATTGAACAGTTATCTACATCCATTACACAAAGAACATGAGATCAAATAATAACACTTTCTAAAATATTATGGTTAAGTGAAACTGTTCGATAGATATGAAAGTGCCCGTCAGCACCATACTCTAACTATGAGCTACAGGCAGGATGCCCTGGTTACAGGTGTCCAAATGTTCAGGTGCGCTCTGAGGTTGTGGAGATAAAGACTCTGATGAGCAGACAAGTACAAAATGAGTTTCTCTGCCATATTTCCTCCTCGTTTCTGTCATTAGAATATGTACATTTACTAGTCTGCTGCCATGAGCGGGATACCTCCTTACTCTGTGATTGATAGTTTGATTGGCATTGCCGTGACAATGTAACTTCTGTGAACTTGTGTTGATTAGGCCTAAAAATAATTAAATAAAAGTCCAAATACAGCTAATAAAAAAGTCAAAATAATTTCTCAAAATTTTCATAAGAAAATGCATAAATTGTGGAAAGTATTTTTAATACATCTTTTAAAATCTCCCGATCACCACTAGGGGGTGCTCCAGCAACCCCTAGTGGTGATCGGGACCCACTTCCCACGGCCATGGTTGAAGATACTCTCCAGTGAACAATTTCTGATGGCTTTGCCTAAAACATCTGAGAATATAAGGTGTGCTCCCTGGTACGTTTTTATTTTTCATTCCAACATCGCTCAGTTGCTGTTGTCATGCTCGCAGAAAAGCTATCCTGCATTATGGCTAATTCTGGTGCTGAGCATCGTAAAGTCCAACCTCCTGCGGTTGGACTTGCAGGAGTCCAACCGCAGGAGAATATATATACATGCAAAATATATATAACCGCAAAACCAGAAGTCCTCCTGCGGTTGGACTTCTGGTAAAGAAAAATTAATAAAGCTATGCACAAATTAGGTGACCTGGATGGCAGCCTTCTTATTCCTAATATTATGAAATCTAGTGTTATTTTACTGTGTATACATGGGGTTAGTGGGACTAGGATTCAGCATCAACAAGTGGCTTTTTTAACTGAGTTAGATAAGCCTAAGAGGCAATAACTCTTGACTGACACATTGCTTTGACATCCAGAC